ATCTTATTTTTAATACTATTAGTATTATATTTGCCAGATTCCAATTTTCAACTGTTTAAATATGAATGATTGTAACTCCTCACCAAAACCAGGAGTGAAAATTTGCCATATCTTTTATTCTACTGAACAAAAGTTCTCTCCTATGCTAATAAATGATTGCAGAAATTATATAATTATTAACCTTGATAATTAATTCATCAGCAGATTCATCAGTTTTCCTACGTTTATCAGTATGTTCTACTGTTGTTTCCGTGCTCTTTTTTTTTTTTTAGTTTTGTCCATTATTTTTCACCAAAAAAATGAGAAAAAAAAAGTTATGAGAGAGAAAAAAGGAATCTAATGGATAGAGAGTAAACAGAGAGAAGAAACTGATGTATATCTGCTAAAAGCTCCAATAGGAATTTTTACTATTGGTGTTAACCACTCATATAGTGTTTTGAGGTATTCAAGACTGACAAATGTGGCAAAGCATTGTCTTTTGCATAATCCTGAAAAAAATCAGAGTTTCTGAATCTATATGAACTAATTGACTAATATTGTCATAAACAATGACAGGTGATTGTTGATGATGAATCATTAATCAAGATTTTCTCTTCACTGCTTATTTATAAATTCTGGTGAAAATGTTGGATTTGTCCATCAATATTTTACTTTCAATTCAAGTAACATCTCATTTTGGTCTTAAGATGATTATTTCTCATTTTGTAAACTTTTTGAAATTGTTCTATCTTTCATAATGTCATTAATAAGAATGTCATATATTTTTACTTTACTTAATCTAATCAGTTGTAGTAGTATCTGAAATTCAAATTTCAAATCATCTGTGAAAAGTAATTTATTTTTTAAATTATGATTAAATCATTATAATATTTAACCCATCATCATAATTAAAGTGCATTTACAGTAATTGCAAAATTTCTTTTAAGCCATCTATTTCTATCTTTTACACTTCTAATATATATCTGTGATTATCAGTACTTTTTTCTTGGGTGCCTGTTGATCATTTATATTAATTTTTTTTGTTAAACAAATGTAAATAAAAGAATAAAAAATTAATATATTCTCTATCTTATTATTAAACCATGTTGTTGTATCATCAATCATCTCCCAAAAATAATGAAAAGGGAGTGAGTATATTGTACATTTTAGAAAGTAAAGTTTTAGCCTCTCATTGAGTCTCTTATTTTATAATTTTGAAAATTATAAATCCTTAATAATTCATATGTCAATAAAGAATAATCTGCTGAAAGGAAATAATGAAGCATTAAAAGATTGGTAGATTTTCTGTACTGACAAGAGTGAATAATCAAATTGGAATCTCCTGCATAGTGTATAAACTTAATATTAGCATAGTAACACAATATCTATTCATAATTTAGTATATTGAAACTTTGTGTTTCTAGTGATGTTCCAATCCAAATTTGCCATTTGTTTAATATTTTATTAAAAATTATTAAATAAACTCATGACTGTTGTAAATCAATGAAGTTCTAATCCAATATTGTCTTTCTCTAGTAATTAATAGAAATTTGTTCCTTGTTATTCTGGATAAATAATATTTTTTTAAATTATGTTATAGATAAATCCATATTAATGATATGAAGTACATAATAGGGTGAATATTAGTTAAGGAAATATCACAATATCAACAATTAAAGAAAAAAAGTAAAGGATTTCAATCATTTAAATATTAGAATGTATTCTGTTGTGTAACACATGGAAAAAAAAGAGTACCCGATGATATGCCGTAGCACCACATGCAAACATTACAAGCCAGACCAACATTACAAGCCATAAGGCTGTTCACTTGTTATATTTATTAAAACAAACAATCAACTTATTAATATGATCACAAATGAATAATAAGATTTTTATATTAAATTGTTTAAAAAATTAATAATAAATTCTTATTAAAACCTGTTATAAAATGAAACAGGGTTTGAAATTTTTTTTCTTCTTTTGTATATATAGAAATTCTTTACAGAAAATTTGTTGATAACATAAGAATTTCTTGGCTAATTTCTCATATGCTTACGCCATTAAAATTAATTATTTCATAATTAGATTTTATTAAAAAATTTTTTTTTTTGAATAAGTAAATAAAGATAAATAAGAAAATTGGTATATATTTTTTTTAATTTTATAATTTTATTTCTTTGTTCCTTTTATGGGATTTTATCTATCTACATGAAAATTATTAAGAAAAATTGTAATTATGCTTTCGAAAATCATATATATTTGTATAATACTTTTAGAAATCTAGAACATTTAATTTATCAATATTTTATGCCGTAATTTTTGGCACTTGATCCCGCTCATCCAAGCCCTGCTGAAGATCTTCAAAATTTTGATCACGTGAATTTTTATGATTTTTGTTATTTTCGTTTAAAATAACTCATCCATAACGAAAAAAGATCTTAAATATTTCTTAACTTCTTATTGGCCGTTTGTATTTACAGGAAAAATTGATTATGATGAATCTTTTTTTGTAAAATTGTACCTTGTGGCGCATCAAAACATGTTAACCGGACATATGCCATTCGTGTTATACGTTTACGTTTAAGTCAATTTATTACTCAAACTTATTAAATTTATTACAAGAAAAACAAGTAAAATAACTAGACATGGCCTCATAAAATAATATTTATTAAAGAACAGTCTAAAAAGATAAATTTCACAGCCTCATAAATAATTAAGCCTTAAGCCATACCTTTCCGTCTGGGCGTTGCTTCTAATAATAAAAAAAGTCTAATTTAAAATTATATACATAAAATTCTAAAAAAATTTAAGAATTAAATGAAAATAAAAGATAATTTATAAAATTCTATAAAAAATTCTATAAAAAATAGATTTTAAAGATCACGCAAAAGAATGTATTAGCAAGTGGTTCATTTAATAATAATTGACGTAACATAGATTGACTATCGTGTTTCTAAGATATATTATTTGCTTATCGAAGCAAAATAGTAAAAGGATTAAATCTAGTTCGAGCTCACCAGGGGTCGAACCTGGAATCTCCTGATTCGTAGTCAGGCGCCTTATCCATTTGGCCATGAGCCCACTTTTTTTTTGAAATATCTTTTTAAAAAAACATTTTATAAAATTATTATTCTTACTGGATCCCTTTAAGAATGTATATTCTGGTTTATTAACTCTATATATATATGAGTTTATTTACTCTCTCAATCGACATGAAAAGATGAAAATTTGTTTATTCCCTGCAAATTTTTATAATTCTAATTCGTGTCTCTTTGTCAAATCATAATTTTATAAATATTATGATTCTTTCCGTCCTCCGTCCTTTCTACAACAAATTTATTGGACTAACTAATGATATAACATAAAAATCTTTTATGTAATTTTGATTACAAACCTCTTATAATTAATTTATTTATAATAAATTAAGATTAAAGTATAAAACAACAAATTCCAAAGTAGTTATTGTGAGTATTTTGTACTACATTTTTTATTCTACCGTATACATCTATTAAACTTAGGTTTGATAAAATTATTACATAAAACTACGTCATGTGTAATACTTGATCATCACCTGATCACAACTTTCTAAAAAATTGAAATACATAATAATATTTGTTAACGGTCCAAAGATACAAAAAAAGAAATGTCATAAAAAACAGTAACTTCAAATGTATAATATGTATGATCGTTATTTAAACTTAATTCTATCCAAATTCACAGGTAGTAAATAAGATTTTCGTTGTTTCGGAAATTAGGAATAATTAACTCAGATTATAATAGGCAAAAGGTTAAATATCATTTCTTGTTTCGGTAAAAGACTTTATAATATATTATTACCTTATAAAGTTTAAATAGCACATTTGGTAAAAAACTTTATAATAAAGTTATTATTTCACGCATTATAATTGGTAAAGTTTAAATGTCAAATGATCATAGCAATACTTTTCTTGTTTCGGTAAAGAATAAAGAACTTTATAATAGAATAATTACCTTACGAATTACAACAAGGTTTAAATGACATAACAAATTTTTTCTCTTTTTGGTAAAAAATTTCATAATAATTACTCGATAAAAAATTATGATAAACAAGATTTAAATTGCATAATAAAATTTTCTTGTTTTGGCAAAGTAGAAAAATTAGGATGATAACCACGCAGATTTTATTTCGACAAGAAATTTCTACAAAATGAATCCAAAGAAGTTAACCTTCTATAGTCAACATTTATAAATAAAGTAATCCAACGTTTTTTGAAATAATAAATAAATAATAAATGCTCTACAAATTAATTAATTTTCGTCCGAACCATTGTTTTAAATTCTATACAATTGTAACTAACCAAATACAGTATTTGTTTCCGATTGGTTCATCATATAAAAAAAAAAAGATTAATAATAATGACTTCAAATTTTTACTCTAATCTTTTAAAGGATAACTCGGTCGATAGTGATTATCATTTTTATTTGAGTCCGATTTATTATGAGATTAATTTGGAAATGACAACACTAAAAATTTTAATGATCGTCCTATACCAAAATTATTGCCGGGTCTGCCGGGTCTGATCCCATTACTCATTCTTACGTCATCATATTCTAAGAGAAGAAACTTTGAAATTATTTTAAGATAAAAAAAAGTTCGTAAATTTGTAAAAAAAATATTAGAATTGATTTTATATATCTTTTTCATAAAATCATAATAATATTCAAAAAAAAGGGTAATAATTAATAATTTTTATTTAAAAAAAAGAGAAATCTTTTTTTTAAACTGTACAAATTTTTTTAAATAAATTTATATATAATTTTTTTTCTTTTTTATACAACTTATTTACCTACTACAAAATCTTTTTAAAGATACAACCGTACATATTGAATCGCTTAAAAAAAAACTCTCTCTAAAAAAAAAAGAATCAAAATCTATTTAAATATTCTCATTTTTTATATAAATTAAATCTATCTAAATCCAAAAAAGATACATCAAATATTTTACAATCCTTCATTGAATTCCATTAAATCTCTAATTCAATTCATACGTAATTCATTGAAGTAGAAAATACTTCAAATTCTTCAGCAGAATAAGCATCATTATCTAAAATACTATATTCATAAGATTGCATTTTCTTTTGACAAGAGACAATATGATTATCCATATTTAAATCACCACCACCAAAATTCAAACCAGAACTTTGATGTTCATAAATAGCAGCTACAGGTATATTCACTCTACTCAATTTAATTTTATGAAAATTTTCACCATTTTCTAAGGAGAAAATAAAAGAATCCGAGGTCTTTTTCCAAGCAGTAGTATTATATTGCCAACCGAAAGGATTATAACCACCAATTATTTTACCAGAAGATTTTAATTTTATGATAGCAACGGAAGGACCACGATTATTACATTTATAACGAAATTCTCTATTATTAAAACCATCCCTACTTCCCCTGTAAAGTAATTTAAAATTTAAATGAGATTCATTTGTTGATACAAAAGATTTCGTATCCTTACGTTCAATCCAATTTGATATAATTGCAGCGTGTATAGGTTTGACTATATTTGATTCTATAGGAATATGACCCAATCTAGGAAATAAAGTACACATCTTTGGTTTTACGTCATTCATATGAAAAGCCATAATATCTTCATATATCTCTTGTGGAATTATAGGTTTGTAAGGACGTACTTGATCGAAAAAATCTCTCCAAGATATTTCAAAAAATCTAATTAATGGAATAAATTTACCAAGGATACGCTTTAATGCTTTAAAATTCTTTTCATTCCATTTTGTCGTAAGAATATTTGTCGTGGGAATATTTGACGTTGGTGATGATGATAAAGATGTAGCAGATGCATCAGATGCATCCGATGATGATACTGATGAAGTTGAATTAATTGAACAATTTTTTTGATGACGTTGTTTTTGATGATGATGATGATGCTGATGTTGTTCTTGTTCTTGTTCTTGTTCTTGTTGTTGTTGTTGTTGTTGTTGTTGATTCTCTGGTTCACTTTGCTCACTTTGTTCACTTTGATAATCATCATATTCAGATTCTAATAATTTTTTTTGATAGGTCCCCCATTTAATTAAATAATCCCAAACCAAAACTTCTTCAATTTGTAAATCATCCCTAGATAATAATAAATAAAAAATATCACTATCTAAAGTAGTAAAATTTTTTAAGGTGAAAAAAGTTGTAGGGTCTTCACAAATCTTTTCTAGACAATAATCTTGCATTTTTTTACAAGTTACAAGTTTAAATACGGTATGTAATACCTCTACCATATTCTTTTGAACCCATCTTGATTGTTTTTGTATTAAATGAATTTGTACGTGATAAATTAATTCTTCTAATAGTAATTCATCCGCTGCCACCAGTAAATCTAATATATCTTCCCCTATAAATCTATCCAAGTCCAATATTCCTGCATAAATGTACCTTTATTACGAAAAAAATAAATAAAAATTAGGAAGGGAAAAATAAAAACTTGATTCAAATATATAATTACGACGAAGTAAGAATAAGAAAAAGAAAAAAAAAAAAAAATACCTTAAAATTATTTCAAAAACGGTAGGAGAAATATTCGGTTTGATAAATACAATGATACCATTTTCTTTTTTAACCCAATCACTTGATAAAGCAATTTTAAAATATGGTGAACGAGCTCTTAATATATTTGAATGTGCTCGAAATTCTTTTATATCTTCATTTTCTCCTACTTGAATACTAACATTATAATCGTCAGCGTCTTGGAGTAAATTCAATAAATTTTTACTTAAACAAGGAAGAAAGTCTGAAAGCATGTCTTTATATACGTAAAGTTTTTTTTTTTTTTTTT